GCGCCGATGGCTTGCCGGGGACGTTGCGGACACTGGGTGCCTGCTGGATTGAGCGTCACGTCATGAGGGGGCGATACCTGGACCCCCCTCGCGTTGCGAAGAAATCACAACGGGAGGTTTTTCGCCAGTTTCGGCCTCCAGGGGCCCTTACCAGGCCTCGGGGCCGTCAAACCACGACTTAGGACGGAAACCCAGTCCCAGGGAAGAGGTCCAGATGTTAAAATCATAGCCGGAGTGTTGTATCACCAAACAGGGTTTTTAAACCCATTGCGGTTTCCAAGGTCGTTTCCACGTTCTGACAAGCCCACGTCACACTCGCTTCCCGTTAGGTCCTCTCCTGCAACTCCTTTCCTTATCCCTCCTCCTCCTCCTCCTCCTCCTCCTCCTCCTCCTCCTCCTCCTCCTCCTCCTCCCCCTCCTCCTGCCTGCTCCCTCATCCACATCATCCTCCTCCTTCTCCCTTCCATCTCCTCCTCCTCCTCATCATCATCATCGTCGTCATCATCATCATCATCATCATCATCATCATCATCATCATCGTCATCGTCATCGTCATCGTCATCATCATCATCATCATCATCATCATCATCATCATCATCATCATCATCATCATCATCATCATCATCATCATCATCATCATCATCATCATCATCATCATCATCATCATCATCATCATCATCATCATCATCACCACCACCACCATCATCATCATCATCATCATCATCATCATCATCATCATCATGATCGTCATCCATCTCCTCCTCCTCCTCGTCCTCCTCCTCCTCCTGCTCCTCCTCCTCCTCCTCCTCCTCCACCTCCTCTTCATCCCGAACGGCATCTCGGAGCCCAGCGTTGCGAGGATGTCTCGGGCGAAACGTGCTGCGAGGAAGTGTCAGGCGAAACGGGTCGGATTATCTCGAGCGTGGTGTCTCAGAGCTCCGAGTTGCGGGGGCCTCCTGGGGTCTCCTGCGGACCTCCTGGGGCTTCCTCCTGGGCCTCCTGTGGCCTCCTGGACCCCACCTGGGGCTTCCTGAAGCCTCTTGGGGCTCCCAGGGGGGGATAGCTAACATGTGGCCGTCTGGGCCCCTCCACATAGGGGGGGGGACCACAAGAGCAGGAAAAATCAGCGAATCGGCACCGGATGTGTACTAACTTGACACGTTCTGATAGGGGGCCTCCTGGGGCTTCCTGGGAGCCTCCTGGGAATCTCCTGGGGACACCTGGTGTCTGTCCTGGGCGTCCTGCGGCCTCCTGAAGCTCTCTGGGGCCTCCTGGGGCTCCCAGGGTCCCAGGGGGGATATGTAACATGTGGTCTTCTGGGCCCCCAGGCTGGACAACCTCTTGCGCGGCATCTGGGAGCTCAGAATTGCGAGAATGTCTTGTGCGAAACGGGCCGGACCACCTTGCGCACAGCATCTCAGAGCTCAGAGTTGCGAGGATGTCTCAGGCGAGGAAGTCTCAGACGAAACGGGCCGGATCACCTCTCGCGCGGCATCTCGGAATGCAAAAGTGCGAGGATGTCTCGAGTGAAACGGGCCGGACCACCTTTTGCACGGCATCTCGGGGCTCAGAGTTTGGAGGATGTCTCAAGCGAAACGGGCCAGACCACCTCTCGCGCGGCATCAGAGAGCACAGAGTTGCGAGGATGTCTCAGTCAAAACGGGCCGGACCACCTCGCGCACGGCATATCAGGGCTCAGAGTTTGGAGGATGTCTGAGGCGAAACAGGCCGGACCACCTCTTGCTCATGCTCAGCATCTCGGAGCCCAGAGTTTCGAGGATGTCTCAGGCGAAATGGGTTGGACCACCTCTTGCGCGGCAGCTCAGAGCTCAGAGTTTCGAGGATGTATCAGGCGAAATGGGCTGGACCATCTCGCGCACGGCATCTAAGAGCTCAGAGTCTGGAGGATGTCTGAGGCGATACGGGCCGGACCACCTCTCGCGCGTGGAGCTCAGAGTTTCGAGGATGTCTTAGGCGAAACGGGCCGGACCACCTCTCGCGCGGCATTTGGGAGCTCAGAGTTTCGAGGATGTCTCAGGCGAAACGGGCCGGACCTCCTCTTGCTCGGCATCTGGGAATTCAGAGTTTGGAGGATGTCTCACGCGAGACGCCCAATCCCGGACAACTCAGAAACGAGAGTTGCGAGGATGTCTCAGGCGAAACGGCCCGGACCACCACTTTTGTTTGAGGACGTCTCTGCTTTGAATTCTTTCGGCCGGAGTTAGCTTCTATCACAACAGCACCCCGATCAGCAAGCTGTTTGGGGAAAAATCACGACGTCGGGGGGCGATAGATTGGGGGAGTGGGGGGCAGCGAGGGCTGCAGAAAAGGGGCCCTCTAGGGCCCCTCAAGGAGCCCTGTCGGGCCCAAATGATGCCTTTAGGGCAAGAAAAGTGCACCTTTCGTCACCCCCATTAAGCGACGCCCAACTGGTACGTGAAGTTTCGTGGGTTTCGAGCGTGTGCATGGCGCCAACGTTTGTAACTCGGCGGCGAGCGATGGGGGGAAGAGAGAAGGAGAATGCCCTCTCAGAAGGCGGCGGGACTCCTCGGAAGCCCTCGCGCCTTCTCAGAGTTTTCTGAATCTTCGGGGAAGGCTTACAGAGAAGGCCGGGGGACTTCCGAGCCTTCTGAGGAGGCCCGCCCCTTCTCACTTCCCCCCCCCCGGGCTCGCCGCCGAAGAGCGCACGGCGCCAATGCTCGTAGCACGAGGCTGGCCCCGCGGATGGGGGGCCGCATTCATGTGCACGGCCTGGCGCGTGCGTCTTCTGCGGCCTCCCTACCAGATGGGGCTGGAGTGGATGGTGTCGGGGCATCGCGCCGCATCGCCAGCGATTGTTCTTCTCCATCCCGACGTGGCGGATGCATCGCCGATAGGTCGGTCTGCGATGCGATGCGGTTCCCCCGCCCCATCTCCGCGGACGACTTGTGTGTACCGTGCCGCGCTTTGGCGTCTCCCGAGGCGTCGTTGATCCTCGGCCCAGGAATGGTACGATGCATAGCTTTTCGTCGACCTTCAGAGCCCGAAAAACGATGCAGCACCATACAGCGTTGGAGCGGGACCTGTGCATGGGTGCCCTTCTCATACAGTCGGTCCGAGGTATAAGATCGAGGTCGCTTCGGGAAGGGTACACTAGTGTTTTTCGTGTTTATTGATGGTCTTGTGCATCCTGGGGAGGGTACCCTTGGAGATTCTGTGTGTGTGTGTGTGGGCTGGCGGAGGTTCTTGAATGATGTTCGCCTGGCCTAGGTCCGACCATACTCCTCTTCCCTCAGAAAAAGGACGCCATAAACATAAGTTTTTGGCGCTCCACGCGGATTTCTTGGATCCGCGCTGGGCCCCCCCGGCGGCGCCTCCAGCGCCGCCCCTGGCGCGCTCCGCGCGCCAGGGAGGGGGGTCCAGCGCAGATCCAAGAATTCCGCGTGGAGTGCCAAAAATCGTGTTTATGGCGTTTTGTTTTTTTTGTATTCCCTCCAGTTGCTGCCTCTATACGCTCCGGCTTCTGTGCCTTTCGGTTTGGGCTTTGGCTTCGGCTGCGGTGCACCGAGAAGCGCCTTCTCGGGCCAGCTCACCCTAGTCGGCTTGCCACCCCCCTCCCCCTGCTTGCGGGACAACGATGTCCGGGCGTTTCTGGGCAAGCATCTTTGTGACGACCTCTGTGCCGGAACATCCACAGAGACGACACGGCGATTTGGGCGATGCCGCTTGGCTCAGCTCTGCGAAGCAGAGTGCGACATGGCAGAGAGCCTGGAGATGAAATAAGTGAGTGAGGGGTGAGAGTATCGAACGGGGCTAGGACGAGAGAGAAGGCATCCGTTCCAGAGCGTTCCAGAACGCTCTCAGATCCTTCTGGAGCGCTATGAGACGGCCGCGGCGCCCGAGACATCCTCCAGAGCCGCCGGATCTCAGAGACTCTCGATTTACCCTCACCCGATGTTATCCTCGTCCTGGCTTCGTCTTAGAGTACGCGTGTATGGTTTTACATATTCTCTACAGGGGCTGCGCTGCGACCCGACTCGTCCCGCCCAGACGGGCGCGGCTCTACGACCACTGGGGCCAGGCGCTCGCTCGCTCGCTCGCTCCCCTTGCTCAGCAGAGCAAGCACCACTAGAGGCCTTCCGTACAGTCCTCCTCCTCCTCCTCCTCCCTCCTCCTCCTCCTCCTCTTGCCTCTTGTTCCTCCTCCTCCTCCTTTTCCTCAACCGTTCCACTCCTCCTGAGCCGATTGCCCTGCTCCTCCTGCTCCGAGCTCCTCCTCAGCTTGCCGCGTCCCGCCGCCGCTCCGGCGGCGCTCGCTCCTGGTTCCTGGTCTTCCTGCCCCTTCTCAACCCTAAACCCTAAACCCTCCATCCTCCGCCCACCTTGTCTCCACGGAGCCCCAGGCTTGCTGTGTCGACCTCCTCATCTTCCTAATCATCCTGGTCATCCTCGTCATCATCGTCGTCATCATCATCAGCATCCTCATCCTCATCTTCATCATCCTCGTCATCATCCCCATCCCCATCCTCATGTTCGCTTGCATCATCATCATGATCACCAGCAGCAACATCATCATCATCATCATCATCATCATCATCGTCATCTGCATCTTCGCCATCATAATCATCATATTCATCATCATCTTCATCATTTGTTCTTCTTCACCATTATCATCACCATCATCATTATCAGCATCATCACCATCATCATCAACATCACGATCAACCTATCAGCAGCAGTATCATCATCAGCACCATAATCATCAGTACCACAATTATAAGTATCACCACCACCACCATCGTCGGCATCATCATCAGCATTGTCATCAACGCCAGCATCGACGCAAGCATGGCAGGTTGTGACAGAAAATGTGTAAAGTTTTTTCTCCCACCTCTATGTGGCCGCTCCATCTATGCGTTATTGGCGTGGCGGAGGCAATTGGAGCGGCCATATAACAGGGACGACCTCAGCCCCAACGCTGGCGCCTACGCAAACGCCGACGCAAGCGCCTACACCAACACC